TAGTAGCATTCTTTCTGAGGGAGTCTGAGAACAAAAATGTGTCATAGGAACGGCCTTCCAAAGGAAGCTGAAAAGTTTACACTGTTTACTGTTTCCATTTTGTTCAGTGTTTGAGAAAAAAAGAAAGAAAGAAAAAGAAAAAAATGCAAAATGAGAAAAACCGCAATCAGACAGGCTGATCTCTTTTCTGAGTCACTGCATTGCCGGTATCCTAACTCTTAACAGAATGCAGTAAAGAAAGGGTGCCGGGAGAAAAGAAGAAATAAGATTCTCCTGATTAAATTCAGTATACTGACTAAATCCATGCACAAGGAACAAAAACATCTCATTCATTGCAGTTCAAGGTTACATGAACTGAAGGTTCAAGGTTACATGAAGAAAAGTCTCTAAATACACCAATCAGACCCTTCCCTGCAGGATGAAGTTATGGGTGAGAAACGGCCCCTCCGTAACAAGCCATGGATTTCATCCTTAGTGGTTTAGACACATTTTAAAAAATCAGTGAATTGATGAACAATGTATAATTTCACATATAAATAAAGGCTGGGCAAGTTTAAATACATCTGTTCATGCAACAAACACTATTTCTACGATAAAAATACAACACAAACTTACCGGAGAAAAGATCTAATGTTTTCAGCCTTCATTTCCGATAACAGTGTCCGCTGCATCCTCTGGTGAGAACGAGCTGAAGTAGATGTTTCTTTGAGAGGTTTAGTAAGCCAGCCTGGGGGTAGAGTGAAATTACAGATACACACTCAACACACAGAAATACACAAACACTCATAAAGACGCAGAATAAGCACACTAGTTGCTTCTGGCAACCAGAAGACAAAATAAAAACAAGAACAAAACAAACAAACAACAACAACAAAAAAAAAAACGAGGTGATATCTAACCAACAGATCACTGTGCACTTTTGGGGGGAACATGCTAATTGCAGAAAGCTATTAAAATTCTCGTAGACGTGTAACTCTCAGCTGGTTAGCACAGGTTTACTTCAGGCACTGTTCTTTTACTTCCCTTGTACTGTGAATATATCTCTACTTTTGCTGTATTCTTTTGGAAACTCCGCAGAGCACGCCCTAAGCCACTCTGGGCTTTTCCTCCCTCCAGAGAGATCTCCTGACCTGACTTTCACACTTACCCATAGTAAAGCCGGCGAGAAAGGACGCCACCGCTGCAGCAAGGCAAATCCCCAGACCTCTGAGCTGCCGAGGCCTCGCCATGCCGTCCTGGGCCCGGGAGCGCAGTGGACTGCAACAGCAGGCTTGGGGACTGCAGATGCAAAGCCGAGGGTGAGCAGGAGACTTTGCAACGACCCAGAGACTAAGACAAACTGCACCACGGCGCCTGCTCAGTCTGCCTGCAGTAGAAGGCAGGGCAGCGGGAGGAGCTGCTACACAGAGCTCTGATTATTTACTGAAGAGACCAACCAGAGCCTTTTGTCAACTGCACCCCAAGAAGGACGTTTTCGTTGAAAATCTCACTGATGAGTTCCTTTTTCCGCTTTCATATTCTTCCAATTGCTACCTGAACACACTGAGGCTAAGTGTGTCCTGGGCTTCTTCTGTAACAAGCCGGAGCCTCAATCCCTTAACACCAAATCCCAGAGACTGTGTGAGACCTAATTCCTCCCACACTCACCCACCACACGCATATCTGAACAGGCCTCCACATTTCTGCATTTCTATAGCAGAGGTTTTAACACACCTCGTTGGAATAATGTAGCTGCAGGTGAACAAACTTCACCATTTCAAGGGCCGTGCACTATTACTGGCAGTAAGGTCTAAATGTCATCTCTCCTCGTCCTTCTCTTAAACTTAAAAAGTATTTCCCTTTAACCATGTTTACAAGGTTCACACCACAGCTGGCTTTTCACCCGTGTCTCCCAAATGGAACATCTAACAAGTCATGGTTGACTTTCCACCCCTAGCCAAACCAAAATTCCCTAGAGGATGATGAAGGCGATAACGTCTTACCACGTGCCCAGCAGTTCTACACGTCCTGTCCGAAAGGCTTTGGGTAACACACCTTACTTCCAGCAAGTTGCTGGAAGCTCCTCATGTCTTTGTTTCTCTTGGGTATCATTACTGACTGCTTTGTCAAATGGCTTTTCTTTTGTAACTTTGCAAAAGTTTTAAAAGCTGCCTTTAAATAAAATAGGTTTGTTTTGTTTATTGTTTATTTAGGAGTCTCTCAGTCTGGCCTTGAACTTGCTATGTAGACAAGCAAAGGCAATCTTGAACTCCCGAGGAGTGTGCCCCCACGATGGGAATGGAATCTTCTTACATGCTAGATGTGGCTTCTACCAACTGTGCCATATCCCCTGTCCGGACAACTTACTTCTAAACGTTTGTAGTCTTTTAAAGCCCCTAATAATGTCAGCTCCTTCAATAGTGGCTCTCTGGACTATCCAAACCCATGTCTCTGTCATTCTCATTTTAGAAATAAACACTTTTTCAAATATATTTTTATATCAAAATTAATCCCCATACATATGGATGAATACATAGGAAATTAGAATAAAATTATTTCACAGGTGCAACAGACTGTGAAGTAGATACACTCCTCAAATACAACATAAATGATTCCACAATCTAGTATGTAAATAATGTAAGGATTTTGTTTGTTTTGTTCATTTGTTTTATCTTTCCAGGAAAGGGTTTCTCTGTCCTATATCTTGCTCTATAAATTAGGCTGGCCTTGAACTCAGAGACCGCCCTGAGTTTGCCTCCTGAATGCTGGGATTAAAGGTGTGCACTACCATACAGGCTTTAAATAACTATCCAGTGTCTAATAACTGGGACAAAAAACACCTCCGTTCACAAATAATATGAAATGTTACTTGTATGCCCCATAAACATTTTGGTGTAGCATCAATAATAAAAACCTAGAGTCAGATATTGGTATTCAACCCCAAAACCAGAAAAACAAAGCAGTCAAGCCTCAAGAGAAGTCTTATCACTACCAAAGTTGGGCAACTGCAGGCTAATCTAAACCTCTCCCTCCTCGCGTTTTATATTCCCTCTAGCACTGGCATTTAAATGTGTGACTCCTTAGGACTGGGATTAAAGGTGTGAGGCACCACGTGTGGATTTGGTTCTGAATAGGTCTTGTGTAGCCCAGAATGACCGTGAACTCAAGAGATCCACCTGCCTGTCTCTCAAATCCTGGGACTAAAGGTGTAAATCGCCACTACTTGATCTCTAGTGGCTTTACCTTTGCCTCTGGTCTTCAGACAAGATTTATTTATTAAAATACAAATAATATACACTATATTTTGGGAATTGTTTATATAATTTTCTGGTTTCCAGAATTTTGACTTTATCTAAAAATACAGAAAAATTCATTAAGGTTTGTGAGAGAAATGGTGGAAACTAAAGATTAAAGAAACTAAAATTATATTTAAACTTTAATTTTTTCTATCCTATCTTAATTTTGACAGCCAATTGAAGTTTGACAGGTAAGAGAAATTGATGCATCATTCATCACTTTGTCCATTTGATTAACCTTCCAAAATTAAAATTAGAATACTGATTCAGTGAGTATTTACTCAGGAGCTATTGTGTGATACACATTGTACAAACTTTCGAGGATGCGATAAGGTAAGTATTGAATAAATTATTCCATGTAACAAATTCTAAGAAAAAGCAGAATTACCTCCAGTATGACCGCCGTCGATGCCCTATCAGGCGGCATCTGCAGTCTGAGTCCTGAAAATCCATTGTAAAAAGTGGAATTGGCTGGCTCCAGAGTCTTTGGCCTTTGTTTTCTATGGAATCTGTAAGCATTCAGAATTTCAGCTCCATTAAGTGTGTTACAGAAGGCTGCTCTTAAGTAACACTTTGTAATAATTGACATTGTAACAGATATTTGCATTTTGCAAAGCACATGTAAAAATTATTACATAATTTTACAAAAATAAAAGAATATTATTGTTCTTTTGCAACCTTTTCTAAAAAATTTCCTTTAAAGCTAAGTTTGTGTAAAAAACAAAAAAAAACCCTATTTTCTCTGGAAACCAATCTCTCTCCATAAAACTATCTGATCTAATTATGCAGTGAGCCTCTAAAATAAACCATTTTCCATTCAAGCTGAAGACTCTTATACAAATACTTTTCTTTCTCTTCTCACATCTTAGAAGCATCCTTATAACTCTAAAATCAAGCCACTTCAACCGATTTATGGCTAATCTTTTGAAAAACGGTAAGGTAGAGCTAGGTGTTGTGGTACACACTTCTAATTCCAAAACTCAAAAAGCTGAGGAAGAGATTTACCTCAAAACATCTGAAGACATCCTGGACTAGGTAATGAATTTCAAGCTAGCATGAAATACATGGGCCCTATTTTTTAAAACAAAAACAGTCAAACCCAATGTGAAATGTATACAAATAAAGCAATATATATATATATATAAATATTTTAATAATATTTTAATATTTATGTGTTAAAATGGGTTTAGTGACTAGATATTTGTCGTATCAACATTCTCAACAATGGTTATATAAAAATTCTATCCTTTAAAGATTTAGCTTTATTCTAGAAAAATTCCAGATAAAATATTCTTTATAAATATAAGCATTAAGCCATTAGTGATGCCACAAGGTAACTAACTACAGAAATGTCACTACTTCGGAACAGGTCGTAGGCTACACGATATTGTCATCAAGACAGCAATGCTTACTTTCCAAAAAGAAAACACTGAGTATCTTGAGTGCTGTGATTCATGAAAAGAGAGGCATTCCAGCTGAGCATTTCTAAGATTCTGGGCACAATTTTTCTTACAAACATAAATTTAGATATTATAGTGTTAGCTGATCAAAATACAGAAACCTGTTGGTCAGATGAGAGATAAATAAAGGTAGTGAGGAAAGACTAGCAAAGGGGAGGAGAAATTTAGAGAAAAAGCAGAAACCATGGTTTTCCTTCTGATGTCACAATTACTCTACTCAACAATAAATGTAGAAATTAGGGAACAGCCGCATATTTCCAGTGGAGTTGGAGGACCTCTGCCTCATGGCTCCTGTCAAGCAGACATTCCAGATAGAAACAGAATACTGGTAAGTTACATACATTGGTCTTTTTTTCCTACCTCTCTTATTTTCCATTGTTCCTCTCTTATTAACATAGACAGTCAGCCTGTTACCCAAGACGTTTTGCCAGCTTTAAGCATCTGGTGTCTTTTCTTTCTGTGTTCTCAACTTTTCTTCAGTAACCTTTGTGATTCAATGCCTCTCCATCCTCTCCAACCGTACCTTTCCTGAAATCTAGTTTCATTTATTGATCTTTTTTCCCGAAAACTAGCTAACCAGCCATTTTCTCTTCCTGCCATCCTTCATCAGAGGTCAGAAGTGAAAAACTTTTGGTCTGCTGTCTTGTTCTGCTCTGCACTGCCCTTTGAAGTCCCTCTTGGACCTTTGCTTCATGTTTGCATCCTTCCTGCAAGCTGAGCACCCACTACCCTTTATGCTGGTGGTAACAGGTGTTCTTTGAATTTTGAGTTGACAGAGGTTTTTGTCCCACAGTCAAGACCATTATCCCACCACACTTCCTCTCCCTCTCCTTTTCTTTTTCAAAGCAAGAACTCTAAATCTAATCCCCTTGTTTAATTTTTTTTTCCTGACCATTATCCCTAGTAACTTGTAACCAACACTCTAAACAAAGACAAACATCCATAATCCATTTTTTGGGAATGTGGGCATAGTTTTCTAGGTTACTTCCTGCTGATTGGGGCACAGATAATCTTATGGGGACCTAAAAAACTTTAGCATTATGGTCAAGTCATAACTGGAATATTCTATGAGACTTGATCATCTCAGCTAGCAGTCTTGAAAATGTTCTAGATGTAGGATTCAGAGGAAATTCTAACAGGGACCCTCTGAAATGTTGGATCATCTGGGCCATTTGCTCTTACCAAAGATTTCTCAGAAGGTTTTCCTTGATCAAACCTGATTCTTCTTAACTCAGAATGAATCCACAGCCTCTCATTTTTTTTGTGGAAACAAAAGCAAAGCCTCTTCTCCAAAGTAACATATCTTTTTACTTACATTTTTAAGTCAAGGCATTGATTAATCCAGCAGCGTTTATAATCAAATATCTTTTATCAGCTGCTGGTCCTCCCTCAGCAGTCAAACAATTCAAAGACAACACAGTAACATACAGTATCCAGATTCTCTGTATATTTTCCATACTTATGTATCTTTATTTTAAACTCTGTTTCTTTTCTTTTTCTTATTTATTAATTTACTTTTTTGAGACAGGTTTTTTTCTGCGTATTTTTTGGCTATCATGAAAGTCACTCTGTAGACCAGACTATGCTTGACTTCACAAAGATCTGCCTGCCTCTTCCTTCCAAGTGCTAGGATTAAAGGTGTGTGCCACCACACCCAACTACTCTTTTTTTTTAAGGACTTTATCCTTTTTCTTTTCTCTCACAAGCCTACATATATTTTTAAACACACTGTAAACCATTATGGGATTTTTTTTCATCTGAATCTATCTTTACTGTATATATCTCTTTTTCTGACCTCATGAGTCTTTAATTTGCTAAATAATATGGCTAGCATTGAAGCTGTGGCTTTGATGGCTGGATCCACCCCACTCCTTAGCTCTCTGAGTATAGCTTCATGGTGGAGGTACTGACAAGAGTCATGCTTATTGCCACAACTCTGTGGAGTTTTAAGGTCCCTGCCCCCACCAAAAAGCATGTTGTCATCTATTCATAAACATTTGAGTGTTTGGTGGTAGGGCCTCTTAAAAGAGTTGCAAGGTTGTTGTAGCTAAAGCTGAGTCAGGAAGCCTCTCTTAAACAAGATGCACTTGCCTCTAGCAAACAGAGCCCATCCAAGAAAATGCTGATACCAAAAAGCTGTGCTTGACTCTGTTCTTTTGTGTCTAAAATTGTTTCCCAAGCTCTCTCAGGTTTTATGTGGATATAGTTGTTCACATTGGTGCTAGTCTGTTGACAGAGATTTCTGTCTGCCCAGTTCTGCTGCTGTTCATTCCCAAAGAAACACACAGAGACCTACATTAATTATACTCTGGTTGGTCTATTAGCTTAGGCTTTCTTATTAACTAATTCTTACATCTTACATTTACCCATAATTCTTGTCTCTGTTAGCCATGTGGCTTGGTACCTTTACCAGTCAGGCATTCTCATCTTGCTTCTTTTGTGTCTGGGTGATGACTACAGACTGAGCCTTTCCTCTTCTCAGAATTCTCCTGTTCTGGTTGCCCTGCCTATACTTCCTGCCTGGCTTCTGTCCAGTCAGTATTTTATTAAACCAGTACAAGTGACAAATCTTTACAGGGAAAAAGACCATTGTTCTACAACAATTTTGCATTCACCTCATCTTTGGCCTCAGGGTTCATATTACTTCTCAGTTTCTTTCACATCTCACATCCCGACCTTCAGAAGGCTGTAATGATTCCACAGTCCAAATACAGCTGCTTTCCACGTTCACCAGCTTTCTTCTCACTACTGTTTTAAAGAAACAGATTTTTTTGACTTAACAAAATTCTTCCTAAAGTCAGATCACTCCAAAGCCTCCCTTTAAACTTAAAAGAAGAAAAAAAATCCAGACTTGTAACAGTGGCCAACAAAGTCCACATGATCTAGTTTTAAACTTCACCTCCCTTCATGTGTAAACTTCATCAAGGAGATAAATGCAAGACCAACACATGAAGACTAGGCAACCCCATGTCAACAGATCATTAGCATCACAAAGAAGACAGTAAAGGCCCAGTGCTGCCATACTTTCCTGTGATGGTATCAGTGTGCGTGTCTTCAGGTGAAGGAGACAGGGTGGCTTGGGAAATGACCTACAGCTTTCTTTAACAGTCTTTTTCAGGGATCCCTCAACAAAAGCCAAAATACAAAGAGAGAGTAACTAATAATTTTATAATTATTAAATTATAGAGATGGAGATGATTGTTGGAAAAGTTTAATAATTTTGTACTTTATTCCATTGAATTAAAAAGTCTTTATTAAATAGTTACTATTCATGACCAACTAGACTGGTTGAGAACAGCCTATCTCATTTAATAAGATTATAAACTTTGTTTTCCTAGACACAATAATCATACCCTATTTTCTTACATTGCATTGTCAATAATAGGATTCAGTGTTGATTCTATGCTTAACTCAAAAATTTAAGGGAGGCTTCTGGAGACTTGCTAGTCCTTTTCAGTATGTACTATCTACTGGGAAGAGTTCCTTTTTCTCAGAACCAGACAAGTTTGTCTAACGGCAAATGCATAAAGGAACTTTTCTGATGATTAGATGATAAAATTATAACAGACTCTGGGCTGGAGAGATGGCTCAGTGGTTAAGAGCTTTGCTTGTTCTTCCAAAGATCCTGAGTTCATTTCCCGGCAACCACATGGTGGCTCACAACTATCTGGAATGAGACTTGGTGCCCTCTTCTGGCCTGCAGGGATACATACAGGCAGAACACCAAATACATAATAAATAAATTAAAATTATATAGAAAAGGTTATAACAGACTCTCTGTTTGACCTTGAAAGGTAGATGACAAGGCTAAGGGAAGGAAGAGACGAAGCATAAAGGGATCATGGTGGAGTCCAAAAATCTAGGGTGCAACTTATTCAATCAATGCTTTCTGACCTTTACAAAGATCAAATCTGTGAGCTCAACTATGTTCATAGCAGTTTTGTTTGTCACACCCAGAAACTGGAAGCAATCTAAATGCCCCTCGACCCAAGAATGGATGAGGAAAATGTGGTACATTTACACAGTGGAGTACTACACAGCAGAAAAAAAATAATGACATCTTGAATTTTGTAGGAAAATGGATGGAGCTAGAAAATATTTTGAGTGAGGTATCCCAGACACAGAAAGACAATTATCACATGTACTCACTCATAGGTGGTTTTTAACCGTAAAGCAAAGAAAACCAGCCTACAAACCATAATCCCAGAGAATTTAGACAACAATGAGGATACTAAGAGAGACTTACATAGATCTAATCTACATGGGAAGTAGAAAGTATAAAAGACAAGATCTCCTGAGTAAATTGGGAGCAGGGGGACCTTGGGGGAGAATTGAATGGGGAAGGGGAAAGGCAGGGAGGAGAGCAGAGAAAAATGTAGAGATCAATAAATATCAATAAAAAAATCTATCAAGGAAAAAAAAACAAATCTGTTCCAAGACTCCAAAATACATACTCTATCTTCAACAAAATTAAATACATATGTTTTTAAAAAATTATTGTATACTAATTATAGAACAGTGGGTGTCTTCGTGATATTTGAAATCATAAATTAGTCAGGGTTCTTAAAGGCGCAGAACTGATAAGAATGACTGTACAGTTAGCAGGGAACTTATTAGCTGTGTTATGAGGCATGGCCTGAGTACCCCGACAATGACTGTCTCACAGCCAGAAGGCTGAGAATCCAGTAGTCGTCCAGACCATGAGGCTGACGTCTTTGCAGTTCAAATATGGCCCTGGAGTCCAGGTGGATTCCTGGAAAGTTGCTTGTCTTTAGTTTATGTGAGAATCCTGATGAGGTTAGGTTTAATATTGGCCACAACAATGAGATAATCAAAATTCCCAGCATAAATGAAGGTAAGGAAGCAAAAAAGCAAAAGTTCTTTCCATGTCCTTTAATGTGGGCAGCCAGCAGAAGGTGTGGCTCAGATTTAGAGTGAATCTTTCTCCTTTAAATTATCTGATGGAGAAAATTTCTTTTTCTTCTTTTTTCTTTCTTCCTCTTTCTTTCTTTCTCTCTTTCTTTCTTTCTTTCTTTCTTCCTTCCTTCCTTCCTTCCTTTTTTTTTCTTTTCTTTTCTTTCTTTTGTTTTTTTTTGAGACAGGGTTTCCTAGTATACTTATGAAGCCTGTCCTAGAACTTGCTCTAAAACCAGGAGGGTGAGCCGGGCAGTGGTGGCACACGCCTTTAATCCCAGCACTCAGGGGAAGCAGATACGGGTGGATCTCTCTGAATTCAAGGCCAGTCTGGTAAACAATAGCTAGTTTCAGGACCCACACCAAAGCTACAGAGAAGCCTTGTCACAAAAACAAAACAAAACAAAACAAACAAAAAAGACCAGGGTGATCTTGAACTCACAGAGTTCACTGTCACCTGAGTGTTGGGATTAAAGATGTGTGCCATAATCACTTGGTGGAGAAGATTTCTTAGTTAGCCAGGTATTGGGTCACGTGCCTTTGATCCCAACAAGTGGGAGGCAAAGATAGGTAGATCTCTGTGAACTGGAGGTCATCCTTCCTGGTCTATATAGTAAGCTCCAGGACAGGCAGACCTACAAAATAGAAAGCCCCTGTTTCAGAGAGCACGTGAGAGAAAGAAGGGTTGTGGGGAAAGGGGAGAGAGAGAGAGAGAGAGAGAGAGAGAGAGAGAGAGAGAGAGAGAGAAAGAGAGAGAGAGAATTCCTTACACTGGAGTGCACTACACTAAGTTTCTTTCAATTTATTAAAAAGTCATCAATGAAAGTGTTCATGATTAAGCCTGATTGGTCCATAGTAGAGCAACAAAATAGCCATGAGGGCTAAAACAACACTCAGGGTGTATCCAGGAATCCAGGAGATTGTGAAAGTTAATTAAAACAGGCTAACTCTTAAACACTCCACCTTAGGGTGGAGCTTTCAGCTCTCTTGTATAAAAGCTTCTGAAGAGCAAGATGTGCTGAGTTCAGAGGCACTTGGTGGGGGTTATACTGTGGTTGCCTTTGAGAGTCACAACTGCTGTCCAGAGAGTAAAGAAGACACAGCACCCCTGAAGCAAAGGGCAGACTTCCCTGCAGGAGGACCTGGAGGTGAGCTGAAATCCTGAGTACATGACTTTATATTTTTTTCTCTGAGTTCAAAGATTCTCAAATAAATGTATTGGTCATAGTTAACAAGGAGATGGCCATTATTTTCAATTTCAGTTGAACTATAGAATTTTAATCTATCATGAGTTTAAAATTGAAAATTAATGTGATTTTTCCATTTATGTTTCTTGTGAATTTTAATTTTGAATGTATGGTGATATCATATTGTTCTCTTTTTACATGGGATCTAAACTCAGTGTACATTATAGAATTCATAAAATGCTATGTATATGAAACTCTCCACAGTATAAGAAGCCACAGTCTTGTGTCTCAATATGTTTTAAAGCTCTTTTTTAGATTTTAATGTTTATTTATTTATTTTTTGGTTTTTTTGAGGCAGGGTTTCTCTGTAGCTGCGGAGTCTGTCCTGGAACTAGCTCTTGTAGACCAGGCTGGTCTAGAACTCACAGAGATCAGCCTGTCTCTGCCTCCCGAGTGCGGGATTAAAGGCGTGTGCTACCACCGCCTGGCTTAAAGCTTTTTATAAACTAATATTTTATTTATATATTAGGACACATTCATTTACTAACATACATTTAATGGGCTCCTAGTGGTAGGGATTAGCTCACTAATTGCTTGTGCGTAGCACACATTTTGTTCTATCCCTAGCAGTAAGAAAATAAAATAATAATAACAATAATTGAAACTACTCAGTTTTACTCGGTGCTGCTTGGGAGCTGCAGACAGGAGGAGCCTGAGTAGGAAAAAAAGCTGTCGTTGATAATGTTGATTTTGACTCAATTTAAGAAGTTAAATGTAAGTTTTCTATATAGATCCAGCTAATCTTATAATAAATTTTCTTTGCAGAGAATTTTTAAATGATGGATGGGTCCATCATTTTTACATTACACTTAAAAATAATTCTCAGTGTTATTCTTTAGTATTCAGAAGTTTACTCTCAAGAGTTCTCCTTCAAGAGAATCAGCCTCTCCCAAGGATGAGCCCTCTTATTGGTAGCCCATCCCAGATCGTTCAGCCCTGAGGCTATATATACGCAAACACAACAAAAGGCTTAGCAGACTGCATGTAATTTGGCTTAGGTAAGGTTCAGAGCACATTTCTGAAAAAATAGTGACAATATTCAGAGTGATCTAGTGAACCGCATTCCAGAGAAAGAACATTTTGATGTGAGAATAGCAGCCCTCAGGGCTGTGGCTATGTGTTCATGGTCTAGGGTTCGGATATTTTAAAGAATCTTTATGAGACAGGCGATAATTTTACCGAGGCTTATATATATAGAAACAGCGACCCAAAAACAAACAAACAAACAAAAAAAGACTTCAAAGGTGGTAATGAAGTGCCTGTTTGAAGCCCATGCATGATGATTCAGCGTAAAGTCCTTACCATTGAGTGCAGAGTCCTTGAGAACTATATACAAGCATCCTTTATTACAGACTCGCACTCAAACCATGACAAGGCCACGGCTGGATGTCTAGGGAGTTCAGTTGCTCATCTCCTGGTTTTGGCTCATTTGCGTGTAAGTGATGAGCATCTTGGCTCTCTCCAGAGAGCAGTCACATTTAGGGCACTGGAGTAGGAAATTTATTTTCTTTCTAGTCATTCAGTCATGTCTGTCTCTATTTTGTCTTTTTCTCCCAGTCGCCCATCCCTACCAGGTGTTCTTTCCTTCCTTCCTTCCTATCACCATCTAAGCTTCCTCAGCTTGGTGTTCATTTCATTCACTCGTGTTCTTTGAGGATCACCATATGGCCCTGGTTGCCCTAGAATTTGATATGTACCCCAAGTGGCCCCTGAATGTACAGAAAACTGTCTTCCTGGTGCTATGAATAAAGATGCAAACCACCATGCCCCACTTCATTCCTTCATTTTTCAGGCAAGTTCTAGTAATATTTGGAAAAGGAGGCTGCAGAGGATGTAACTGAATTATTATTTTTTTTAAAGATTTATTTATTTATTATGTATACAACATTCCTTCCATGCATGCTTGCATGCCAGAAGAGGGTACCAGATCTCATTATAGATGGCTGTGAGCCACCATGTGGTTGCTGGGAATTGAACTCAAGACCTCTGGAAGAGCAGTCAGTGCTCTTAACCTCTGAGCCATCTCTCCAGCCCCCGTAACTGAATTATATATGAGGCAAATAACTTCTGTTTCTAAAGGAGAAACTCAATTTACATTGCTAATAGTAAAATAGGTGTATAAGCAACATGTTACAAGCGATAACTGGTGTATTTGGTAAATTCCAATAATCAAGTCTAATCTTTTTATTTCTCCTCATAAATACAGATTCACCAAACTGTGGATCCAGAAACCACCTACTAAGTTGTGTGTGTATGCGACTGAGCAGTTTGAGCTCCTATTGAGGTGTTCACACTACTAAGAAATTAGTGGGCACAGGACCTAACCTAGTAATGGCATCGTGTTATAATGAACATCTGTGGTCAAAAAGAGACATTCTGAAGTTACTGGAATGCATGACGAATATTCTCCCCTCAGATGATTCTAGAGGATTCAAAAAAACCCTGGAAGACCTAGACTGGAGCAAAGTGGCTTTTGGGCAGTTTTCAGGAGAAATGTGCAGACAGAAGTGGATGAAGATCTCCCATAGTCTGAGGAAGTTTCGCACCCTGTCAGAGTTAGTGGTGGAAGCCTCCGAACTTGTTAAACAACCTCGCAGAAGTACGGCAATCGAGAAGCATCCTGACTACCCCAAAAGACCCCTGACTGCCTATCTGCGCTTCTACAAGGAGCATCTGGACAAATACTCTGAGATGTATCCCAAGTACAACAACCGACAGCTGACCAAAATCCTGGCTGAGAAGTACAAACAGCTGCCGCAGGAGATCAAGGACAGATACATTCAGGAGTTCCAGAAGGAGAAACAAGAATTTCAGGAAAAACTGGCTAAATTCAAGGAAACCCACCCTGGTGTAGAGCATTATAAGAGATATAGGGTGCCCAAGAGCCACCAAACCACAGTCCCTAAGAAAGCACAAGGAGATACGAAAAACGTAAAGTCTCCTCTAGAAACAGAATTTCCCAAAACATTTTCTCCAGTGATAAAATTTCAGGGAGAACCCAAGAAGCCCCCTATGAGTGCATATCACAAATTTCACCAAGATTCATGGTCAAGTGCGGAGCTGCAGCATCTACCCTTAAGGGAACGCTGGGTTGAGATTAGCAGACGGTGGCAGCAAGTCCCATGCCGCCTGAGAGAGAATTATAACTGTCAGGTCGAAGAGCTACAGAAACAGTACTGGGTGGAGATGGACCGCTGGCTCAAGGGATTGTCACCCGAGGAAGCCACCGCATATCGAGAGGCAAAAGCCACTTGTGGTAAGAGAAAGAACATGGCCATGTCTGGAGGCAGAAGCCCCAAATTTGGACAGACAGAGCATCAGTCCACCTCAGCAAAGGAGGAGCTCCAATCCAGTTCTGGAGAAATGCAAGGGCTGCTGCCTCCTGAAACAGATTCCTCAGAGACTATTCAGGGCCATGATGGTGGCTCCCAGGTAGGCGGGCAGAATACAACGGAAAATGGCAAAGAGGAAGACCCCGTCAGCTCCTCGGACTCCGCTAGCAGCTCCTCGGACTCTGCTAGCGGCTCCTCGGACTCCGCTAGCAGTGCAGATGAAGATGAAGATGATGGGCATCTTCCTTAGTGGACTTCTCAGATTTAGACTTCATTTTAGTCACTTTCCTTCCCTAAATCATAGTTTAAAAGCCAGGGCATCACGGACAGAGAGGGACTGGTCTTCTCTGTGCTTTTGTACGTTCTTACTTTTTTTTTTTTTATCCTGCATCCTTTCTTTACTTACTAAATACAAGCTAAATACAAAGGAATACAGTTTGGGGAGAAGGGAATTTGCCACAGTATTGTCTTCATCAGGTTCGTAGGTTTAGAAAGATCCTGAGACAGCACTCAAAAGTTATTTACATTTTATTCAAACAAAGAACAGAGCCAGTTTTACACAGGCACCGTGTAGACAAGTGGTGTCAGTTAATTCTAGGAAGGGTCTCTTAGTCCTTGCTGTTTCAAACAGCGAATCTCTCCTCTGATATTCAGAATAAGTAGACACATGAACAGCTAGATACAGATAAATACTCTGTTCTCTGACCTTGTCTGGATGTCTTTAATACACTCATCAGCACCACACAACTATAATTATTTTCTTAGTGGCATTTTAAATATATTTAATGTTACTTTTTTATCATTTTTGCTTCTGAATAGTCTGAGCTGTTTTCATAAATATTAGCTTTATAGTATTTGTTTAAAATCTTTGAGATTTTAATATTTGTACATAAATATTTATTTTATCTATTTTAGCTCACACATAGATTGTAAAACTTGTACATATTAATAAAGTACTAGGATATTTTTATAAATATTTACAACATATAATGTTTAAATCCAGTTAAATAAATGTATCTCTTCAAATATTTATCATTTATTTAAGGTGAAATTTGCCAAAATAGTTTCTTTTTAAATTTACAGTGTATTGTTATTATCTTAATGAACCATTGTTTATGTGGTCTCCCAAAAAATTATTTGGGTGCAAATTTTGTAGCATTTGAAATTTTGTACCCGTCTCTGATTTGCTTATGCTTCTAAACATGTTGTGATAAATTTGTGTCTTTTTAAAAATTTTCAGCTTAAACTTACAAGATTCGCTGCTGTGAAACTGTGTTGATATATGAACTTGAATTAAGTTGTAACATGTTGCCAGAAGTGAATATTTACATATACAATGAAACGATTTTATGGCAGTTTCTCAGAAAATTGGGAATCAACCTAACTCAGAACCTAGCAATACCACTATTAGGCATATACACGAAGGATGCTCAAACATATTACAAGGACATTTGCTCAACTATGTTCATAGCAGCATTATTTGTAATCGCCAGAACCTGGAAACAACCTAGATGCCCCTCAACTGAAGAATAGATAAGAAAAATGCTACATTTACATGATGGAGCACTACTCAGTGGTAGAAAACAATGACATATTGAAATTTGCATGCAAATGGATGGAACTAGAAAAAAACAACCTGAGTGAGGTAACCCAGATCCAGACAGATGAACATGGTATGCACCCACTCGTAAGTGGACACTAGATGTAAAGCAAAGGATAACAAACCTATAGTTCATGACCCTAGAGAACCTAAGTAACAAGGTGAACCCTAAGAAAGATCTCCTGGCAAAATTGGGAGTATGGGTGTGGGGAAGAAGGGAAGGTGAATGGGGAAGAGGAGGGGAGAATAGGAAGGGGGAGGAGAACTTGAGGGAAAAGGACAGTCCAGATGGAGGAAGGACAGAGATGGAGAGAGCAAGGTCAGATTGATGTCACCATTCATGTGACATCATGTGGGAGGAAGGTGGAGGGAATGGGAGGAGGGGAGAGAGTGGGAACTGGGATTGGTATTTTATTTTAAAATGATAAAAAGATGGTTTGTTTTCTTTTTTTTTTAAAAAAAAGAAAAGTGAAAAAACAAAACGTTGGTCTTTATAGTCTTGTGGTGGATGATAACGTATGTCTTGCCATGGGCAGGACTGAATGGGAAAGGGCAAGGGATAAAGGATGACTCATGGCTTCACAGCCACAGCCCCTGCCTCCATTTCCCTTCTGGTACGGCACCTACATGTCTGTGCTTTCAAAAGATTTATTTGTTTGTTTACAACCGGACCACAGTTTCCCCTCCCTCCTCTACTCCCAGGCCCTTCATTCCATTTCCCTTTCCCCATCCAGCCCGTCTTTGTTCCTATTCAGAAAATATTCTATTGTAGTTAGAGATTGGTGCCTAGCCCAAAAGTCATCAGAGAGGCTTCATCCAACACCTGGTGGGAACTGATGCAGAGACCCTCACTCAAATACTAGGCCAAACAGGGAGAATCCTGCTGAATTATTTTTTTTTCTGTAATATCTATTTTCTTTTCTTTCACAGGTTTTAAAAATCATTTGCTTAGAACCATCAGCTCCTTATCACTGCAAATTTATAGGCATGGGCTGGGAGAATGGCTTAGTCCGTGTCTTTTGCTGTGAAAAGACACTGTGACCAAAGCAACTTACAGAAGGAAACATTTAATTGGAGGCTTGTTTACAGCTTCAGAAAGGTAGTCCATTATCATCATGGCAGGGAGCATAGCAGCAGGCAGGCATGGTGATGGAGAAGTAGCTGAGAGCTTTACCTTTTGATGTATAGGCAGCAGTCTAAGAAAGAGACAATGAGCCTAGTGTGGCTTCTGAAACCTCTCAGTGAAACACCTCCTCCAACAAGGCCACACCTAATCCTTCCCCATTTGTTCTACTCCTTGAGGAGTAAGAATGCAAATATATGAGTCTATGGGGGCCATTTTCATCCAAACCACCAGAGTCAGAATGTGCTTGCTCTGCAAAAAAGAAAACCCAAGATCGATCCCTAGAAACCGCATTTAAATCTCTAGGTGCTGGGATTTGTGACTTTAATCTGAGTTCTAAAGATGCAGAGACTGCAGATTCAATGGTGTTCACTGGCTAACTAATCAACCTTGTCCCAATTGTTGAGCTCCAGACATATGAGAGACCTTGTCTCAAAGGAAGTGACACACATGACTAGGGTGACATAGATGTGCACATACACATATGTGAACATACACATGCACACCCAATTTTAAAATGAATCTGGGAATGAGGTTCAGAGTGTTTTCTTGACATTCATGATGACCTGGGTTCCTCTCCTAGCCCCACATGAAGTGAGATGTAATCTCAAAATTTTTGAGGTGCCGATAAAAGAGTCAAGAAATTCAAGGTCATCTTCAGGTATTTTAGAGACTAGATTAAGCTACAAGAGACACTGCCTCAAGAAACACAAACATCAAAAGACAAATTTAATCCAGACACTTATTCTCATTAAGGAAGGAAGATGCTCCATAAAACAGAGCCTCAAGACCAGGCAGTGGTGGCGCACGCCTTTAATCCCAGCACTGAGGAGGCAGAGGCAAGCAGATCTTTGTGAGTTCGAGGCCAGCCTGGTCTGCAGTGTGTTAAGATGGACAGCTCTACTAACTTCCTCACATCTTACAAAGGGCCATAGACCACAGCCATAGAAGAAGAAGTCTGGATATCCTGAAGTCACCAGTCAAGGGGGCTAAATACTGGGAGCAGATTCTATGTGCCTCAGTCAAATGCAAATCAATTGTCTCAGGTCTTTATTGGCTTTCAATGACTCTAGTGTAAAGCAAAGCAGAAAAGGGCTGGGTTCTGGAGCCCAGAATAATTACCCAGGATTTAAATGAAAGACATTCACTCATTTCCCCACCTGTGAAAGTGTGGTTCATGTTGTATGATACCCTATGAATCCACAACTTTTACATGTCCACAAGAGTCACATTCAGGTGGTGTTTTATAGATCATTCCAATTAATATTCCACGTGTGTACTTCTCCATGGAGGAACAAATTTTCCATAATCCTCATACAGAATTGTAACTATTATTCTTTATTTTTTGTTTTCTGACACAAGACTCAGGCTATTCTCAAACTTGTGATTCTCCAGCCTAAGTCTCCACACTGGTGACACTGAAAACATTCAACAGCATGCCCATCTTCTGCAGAAGAAAGGTTCCAGTTTTGTATGCCCTTCTAATCTATATTTTTAAAATTTTAACTTTCTATTTCAATTAATTGTAAATACACAGGTTTCATTATGGCATCTTTTTCTTTTTCACGTTTTCTAATCAAAAATATTTTTCATGTAATATATTCTGAACATTTTTCCCTCATTCAATTCCTCCCAGATCTTCCCAACTTTCCCACTCACCTATCCAAGTCTATAACCTTTATTTCTCTTTCTCTTTAGAAGACAAACAAACAAACAAAACCATAACAATAACAACAAAACCACAAGAAATTTACACACACACAAAACAAAATCCATTAAAACACAAAATTGGAAACTGGAATATACAAGGCAGTAAGACAAAAATACACAAACAAAGCAATATGAGACCAAAACAAAACAAAACAAAAAACCCTACAAAAGTACCACTGAGTTAAAAGTACCTTTGAGTTCATTTTGTGTTGGCCATTTTTTACTAGGCATGGGTCCTGTGCTTAAGTGTGGTTTATAATATATCCAGTGAGACTCCACTGGAGAAAAGTATTTTTTCCTTTTTAAGCAGATATTAGTTGGAGATAACTTCTTGGTTAGCGGTGGCAGCCCATGTTCAGTTGCCTTCCTAGTACTAGGATCCCATGTGGCTTGAACCTTTGTGGATGCTGGCCCAATCTCTGTGAGTTCAAATGTGCACCAGTCCTTTTGTGGCCAGACGACAGTATTTTCTTGAAGTTATCCATTTCCCTCTGACTCTACAATCTTTCCACCTCCTCCACTTCAGGACTATGTAGTATCCTTCCCTGTCTCTTCTGGTCAGTTTGTTTGAAGTCTGTTTGTTTTGTCAGATATTAACATAGTTACATCTTCTTGACCCTGGGTGCATCTGCTTAGAATACCTTTTTCCATTCTTTGACCCTGAGATGATCTCTGTCCTTGGGCACAGCAGAAAGATGGGTCCTGTTTTCTAACTGAATCGGTTAGCCTGTGTCTTTTTATTGTGGAATTGAGACAACTAATTGTCTAGTACTATTATTAATTATCCACTACTACTCATAGAGATTTATCAATGAGTGGTGTTTATTGATTCCTGTCATTTTATGTTACAGTAGGGGGATTTTTCCCAATTTTGATTTACTGGTCTGAGATTATTTATTTCTTGTGTTTTCTTGGGTATGATTAACTCTTTAGAGTGAAGCTTTCCTTTTAGAAATTTTTATAGAGCCGGCTTTATAGGTAATGTTTAAATTTTGTTTTATCATGAAATGTTTTTCTTTCTCATCTATTGTGACTGATAATTTTGCTGGGTATAGTAGTTTGTTCATTTGTTTGTTTTAAAGGAGATTGTAGTGATCAAAATATGCTTTAAATGTTTATATTTTATATACTTTCATGTACATGTAAAATAACAATGTACTGCAGATAAAACAGAACTGAATAAAACATTAGTATAAAAATGTAAAGTCAGACTGGGCAGTAGTAGTGCACGCCTTTAATCCCAGCACTCTGGAGGCAGAGGCAGGCGGATCTCTGTGAGTCTGAAGTAATTCTTGTTATGTAGATAAGAGTGTTTCTGTGGCACCAAGTTGCAAGCAATTTTGATTAGGTGTACAAATCTGTCATTCTTTGGCTCTAGTTAGGTAAAGGGGAAACCCAACATACCTAAAATCATACAAGAAAAAAAACAACAACAATGGGAGCCATGTAAGGAAAGTGAAAACCACTCCACAAGACCCATTTAGAAAGTGTAGCTGCTTGCTTGCCCAGCCTTATCAAATGACTAAAATTTAGAATGGTTAATATTTATTAGTGTGCATGCTTC